GCCATCACCTGCATGCATATGAGGATTCTTATTCAAATTCCAGTATATACACTGCCTGAATATACTGTATGGCTCACAACATTTCCCTGAGTGAATGAATTAAAATTATTTCTTACTCCTCTATATCCCATGTTCCCATAATGTTTTCAATTATGCCACAAACAACTGATGCAGGAGAATTTAAGCGAAATTAATATTATTTTACTAATAATTTTTATATTTTGTTATTAAATTTAAATTTTAATAATTAAATATAAAAACCCCCCTCAGAAACCCACCATCTCCATATGTTTTAACTCTTCTTTTCAGTCTTTATACCCGCACATGTATTAACAGATTTACCATCTTGCTATATGGAACCTATTTGTGGCTTTTTACTCAAAATTTTATCTTTTAATATTTATAAATGTTTTTACATTTTTGCTATTTTTTTGGTGGCTGTACAACATTCAATGTCATAACATTGAATCAATGTTCTAAAATATTTTTAGCCATTTCAACCTTTAAATACTGCTGTTTTGGAAGTTCGGGAAGATAGCTCTTTCTACTGTGATATACTTAGGAAAATTTTCCAGAAAAAAACATTTCAGAATAAGTTTTGATACTCTCTGGAAGTTTTCAAGGTAATATGTTTACACACATTAGCATTAGTGCATGCAAATACTTTGGATTTTGACATTGGAGGACAAATTAGGCTTAGATCAATTTTCATTCTTTAGAAAACTATTTTCTTTTTGAAATTACATCATTTCCCTTTAAAATGGAATTCTATGTTTGCAAAAATATTTGAAGTTACCTTTTCCTTTAAATGTACAAATAAGTTATGAAATTATAATTAAATCATTATTATAAATAAGTCACATATCTTATTGAAATATATACTGTATAGCTATATATTAGATACAAAAATACAATATTAAATATAGTAATATTCACTACATAATAGGAGCTAAATAAATGAAAATTACATCCAAATAAGTACTCCCAGGCACTTTTTAGAATAAATGACCTTAAATCAACTTATAAAGCTTAAACATCTCTGTGTTTTTAAATATATCCTTTCATCGATCTGCCTTCTTCTAGGTCAGTGAATTCTAAATTATGGTCCAAGGACTTGTGTGAAAGGGACTGCAGGAAATCGCCAGGGATATGACTAAAAATACTTATTTTCAGCTCTAACCAACCAAATCTTTAGGGCTTGAGACTTGGGAATTAGTATTTCTGATACATTCTTTGGGTAATTCTGATAATTTCAGCCAATATTCAGAACCAATGACCTAGATTACCAGAGAAACCTCCTCCATTTCTATATGTTTTTGTATTTTATACATTCCTCCACAATCCTTCCTCCATGTTTCAAATTCTTTCAGGTCTTGGACTTAGGATATTATAATAATATTTCTCCTTATGAGATCCAATTTTTATACTGTTATGTAATGATGCCTACCACAGCCTTTTAGATTAATCATCTAAAAAGGCCATTCTGTCTAAGGCCATTCTGGCTATAGGACAGGACTAAATACCTATGAAATAAGCAGACATGTTATTAAAAGAATATCAAAACACCCTACTCATTCTCTGCTCTCCCTGAAAGAATACAATCATCACCTATTACCTAGCTAAATACATTGCTTTAGTTTGGAAATTAGAAATGAAAATATTGTTCGTGGAAGATATTTAAAATGTATGCATTGCCATTATTATGGCTTACTTTAGTGTAATTGCCACTGTAGGAGGCACAGAGGCCTTAAGATGAGTTTAATAATGGCAAGGATATGGGATGTCAAACATACTGAGCATACATGGAATGTTTGGGGAAAGTGAAAGGTATTCTTAAAGTTTAAAGGGTGAGTGTGTGTGCATTTTTGTGTTTCTGTGTGTATGTGTGAGGGGCATGAGTTCTAATGACAAACTGGTAAGTATTACCTAAAATGGTTGCATAGACTATCCTACTTAGCTCTGTTTTTATATAGTAACTTGCTAGCCCAGCAAACTTATCTAAATCTTCAAAATTAAAAGCCAATGATTTAAAGCAAACTCAAATAATAAAAGAAAATCGCCTGATTTCACTAAATAACGTCTCTTCCCTACTGCGTTTCCTACAGTGTTTTTTAAAAGAGATCAGAGTTTTGAGAATGGGAATCTTCTGTTCAATCAATGGGGAAAGCAAATGGATGTTCCCACAAGGAGAATTGTCTGTGATTGTGCTTGCTTTAATATTTAAATATTCCTCTCCTCTCTTGATAGAAAACTCTTGCTACACAGTATCTGTTCTCTTTCTCCTATGTTCTTCTCTTTGCAAAGGATACTTAACTTTTATATCAGCTGAATTACAGAGAGGAGGAAAAAGATCCCAAAATAATTTGGAAAAGTATATTTATTGCTGGGTAGACCACTTCAAAATCGTCTCCTTTTCTCCCTTAGATTTTAAACTTAGAGAAAAATTCAAAGATTTGTTGGACAATGCTGATAATAACAGCTAACGCATTTATGTATTATTATTTGTCAGAAATAACAAGAGGCTTAAATAAAATATCTCATTTAATCATTCCCCAATTCCCATGAATTTGATGCTACTTCTTTATCTGCTTTCTGCTAAGAAAGTTTAAATACAATTCAAGAAACATTTCCAAATTTGCACATTTTCCCAAGTGAAAAAATCTGGATTCCAACCTGGACTCTGTGGAAACCCACACTGTATTGCTTACTGCCAAATTTTTAATATATATTTATTTTGAAATATATTATAAGAAAAATGCATGCTAAAATTTCTTTTTTAAAAAATTTAAGAAGCCAACATTTTGTGGGAATATTTTAAAGGAATCTGATAATTAATATATAATATTGTGAAGAGTCTTTCAATCTAGTTAGGCTTTTAACCGTATGTTTGCACTAAGCAAATAAAAAGTAAAGGAAAAAAAAGTTAATTTTTACCCCTGTGACCAAATCACTTCTAGTAAATAAATCAGGGCCGTGATAACACCACACTACAGAATAGGGATGTTTTTCACAGGCATTTTTCTCTTCTCAGTTTCTCAAAGAGCTTCATCAAAACTAAAGGAACTATAGAGAAGATTTATCAGAGGCTTGGTCAGGTCTGTTGCATTTCCCCTGCACATGGGAACGGGCACATCCATCTGCCTTCCCTAGAGAGAAGCAGAACAGAGAATTCGTGACAGATATACCTTTTAAAGAGACTATTTTAAAAAATAAAATAGCTCTTTCCTTCTAAGTTATCTCTAATAATGAGTAGCAATCATTAAAAGAGTTCTTGTAAAGTGTTATTTAATTTTGTAGTTATAATGAATAGACTAGAGAGTAAAACATCTTGAGTGTATCATGACTAATTTTGCAATGGGGACAGACTTTTTGGCAGTGCATGAAGTAATAAAAGTTCCTGCTTCATATTATGTTGCTTCTCTTTTCATCTTCACTTAAGTTGTTAGATGTGATGTTTCCAGGTGTATTCCGAGTCCAGAAATGCTAGATATATTTAATAATATGTATATCCATCAAGGGCTGATTAATATTAAGAAACATACCTTGTGTAGATATCCTCACATAGAATAAAAGAGTGAAATATGAAAGTAAACTTGTGTCATTATAATTCCTTAAAACAATGTGATAACAATGCATGTTAATAGTAAACATACTGTGGAATAAGGATATATATATACATATTTTTTTTTTCTTTCTTTCTTACCATTACTTAAAGTTGCTCATAGCCCAATGCAAAGGGCCAGAGTATTTCTTTTTTTAATGGCTTTTTAGTAATCAGATAATGTCTTTGTTGCAAGGAAGTTATTTGTAAAGTTACTTTTAACATATAACTTAATACTTTCATTAGTATATTTGCTCTGTACAATGGATTTCTAAATCATATGCTTACCATGTATGTGTATGTGTATACACTTAAAATTGTGAGAAAACTCCTTAAATAAACCAGGTTAATCAGTTTGATTGGGAGACTGAGAAGAATGGGTCTGGTAAAGGTCAAGGTAGTTTCATAAACCAATTAGTGGCTCTATTAAAATCAACTCTGTCTAAATTTGATTTCTATATTTAACGTTAACAACAAACAAACAAAACAGGCTCCATGTACACACAGAGAGTACAGAAAGGCCCAAGACATAGATGGCTGAAAATAAAAAAAACTAGTAATTGGTATTAAAGAGCTAGAAAATAAAAGAACTAGATCAGATAGGCTGGTAATTAATAGACTGAACAATATGTCCCATTTTGAATACAATTTATGATATTTTAAATTGGAGACAAAAATAGCAAAATAAAACATAATTAAAAGCAGAGTTGGATGACAAATATACAGTAAAAAAGAAGTTCATAGAAGATTAAATTCCCAGGAAGGATAACTTTTTTTTGGTGAAAGTGAAGTTCTGAGTAATTAGATTTAGCATATCACTAGTCCTGTTTGAAAACAAAACAGAGATCATTATTGATTTTTAAAAATTGGTGACGGTTTTTAGCTTCTTAAAAAAGGGAAATGAAAAATGCAAAGATTGAATTCTTAGACTCTTGATTAATTGTAAAATTAACTTTAAAACAGAATAGTGACCTTTAGGACAGATTTAATACATTAAAAATTCAGCCTTGAACGTATTTGATTACCATTCTAACAGTATAAAATATAATATCATGTATATGCTTAGATTGTAAGCAAAAGCATTTTAATATACTTTCTGAGAACTTTATTGTGTCTATTTTAAAACTTGAGTTTAATTAGGAAGTTATTGACTAGCTTATGAAGTTATAAAACAGCTTTAAAATACTTAGTAAATATATGTTTAATAATGAGGTTATTGACATAGCATATTAATTTTTAATAAATTTTTTTCTTAATAATTACTCTGCCTTCTATATTTTAACAATTAATGATGTGGCTTTACATAAAACCAAATATTTTGAATCCTTTAAAATTTTTACCCCAAGGAAATCTGAAGATAAAGACATCCTACAAGAGAATCTAACTAGCTCACTTCTTATATAACTAGTGTGGTTGTAACTGTTTCTGGGAACAAGGAGTACATTTCTTAGCATTATTTCACATGATAAATATTTAACAAATGATACAATAAGTGGAAACCTACATTTTTGGATAAAAACTGTGAGGAAACACCAATAAGCTGAAAAATCTTCCTGACTGTGACTAAATTCTTGTAAGATTTCTCCGGTGTAGTTACCTGTACTGGTAGAAATTAAAACAAGGCAAGTAAGAAGTAAAAGCTAAAGAAGCCAAATACATCAAATGTATCCAAGTTTGGGAGTGAGAAAGATGGCCTCTTCAAGGTTCTGTTCTTAAGCAGAGTACCTGGGATTCACTGTTACCAAGGGGGACTCTGCTGTCCCCTCTGCCCCACTAAGAGTACACAGCCCTGTCTGTTCCTGCTGTTTCTTAGATCCCATGTTGCCCTCTCTCTGTCTTTCAGTGACAGCCAAACAACACTGGTCCTAATTAAACCAAGGGGATTGACATTCTCTCCTAGGTACTTAGAATGCTGTACCAAGAGCATTCTCAGACCATGCCAGCCAGGGAACAAGCCACTGCTTTTCCCATATTGGGATTTCTCTCTCTCCTTGTTTTCTAAGGAGTGAGAAAGTAACAAACTAAAACTTGGATTCCCTACAGCATGACATAGCTCCCTATTCTCACCCCTTTACAACTGGTGACATCATTTTCAAGAACATAATTCTGAAAACTTTTAAGACACAATTTTTAAGTGTTGAATTCAGTTTTAAAATCAGTTTGCTGTTTTATATTAAATATTAAACAATGTGGTCAATAGAAGCACAATAACTATATTTGAATCTTAATCCAAGCATCAAATCTCTGCTTTTATTTATGAAAGTGGTTATGTAAACAAGCTTATCTGCTCTCTAGTTAGAAAATAAGCATTTGAATGACACACTTATTTGTGCATTGCACTTATTAGCTATGTGACTTTGGCAAGATAGTTTGCCTTTCTAAGTCTTGGTTTAGTCTTTTGTGAAATGCGAGTAGTTGTAATTGCTATTCCTCATCTATCATTTTGTAAATAGCTGCTTAAAAAACTTATAGGCCCATAGTAAGTATTCGATAAATGCAAGTCAAAAATTCCAAGTAAAGATTTTCTATAGATGACTTTAGCACTTTAAAAGTATCAGGAAAGTAATATTTTAAAACTGAAGAAAATATTTTGATATTTGTTTCTTAGCTTTACGCCATTTAAAAGTACTGTGAACATAATCACTTGGTGATGAATTAATCCAGAACTCTACTTCTTAGCATGGATAGAAATTAAGAATGGTATTAGTTTCTTTCTGCACAAAGAAATGTTGATTCTATTATTTGTGAAATTTATTTTCCCAGCAACATGATTGAAGAATAGGAATGATGTCAACTTACTTACTCCCTTAACAGTTAAATTGATTTAGTTTAACTCTATAAAAACTTATTCGTTGAATAGTTTAAATATATTTAGTTTAACTATATAAACCTAATTATATTTAGCTTAAAAGTTCAAAGAACGTAGAACCTTGAAGTATAGTCCTTAGAACTATAATTGGGTTTGGTCCTCTTCTTTCACGTCTTTTTTAATACGCTCTTTCTTTTCTGCTGTCATCTATTATCAATATTTGTACTATCTGGTGCTGACTGAAACCTGTATCTCAACTTTGCCTGCCTGACATTTCAGGTTGAATTAAATGAATTTAGAGATTAAATGACATTTGAACTGGGCCTTGAAGGGTAAGTATATGTTTATGAGACTGCGTACAAATGAATAACAGCTACCATCTGAGCAAAGGTAGAGGATTAGGTAAGAACCCAGTTTGCTTGGGAAGCAAGATGTTCTAAAGGATGATTGGCTGGGGAAATGGCTATTACTACAGGATGGACAGAAGGCTGATTTTGATGGCAAAGGACTCTGACACTTTCAAAGGAGTTTATGGTTTACCTGGGTTATATTTGTAGTTGGTAACAATTGATTGAAGTATTTTGTTACTCTTTAATTTTTTTAATTGAGCCTTATTAATATGACACTGTGGCTCTTTCATTGTATAGAGACCACATGAGCAGGAGTAGAAAGACTGAATTGAAGAGCAACAAGGAATAAAGGACAGAAGAACAATTAGAATTGAATTAGAACAGTCTGAGTCGAAGATTGATGGGAAGCTAACCTGATAAAAATTGAGTATAAGGGCTGGTTATAAGAGACATTGCAGAGACCACTGGCAGTAATGTGTGAGTAGAAGTGGACCTGGCTAACTATGAGGAAGAGGGAGAAGTCAAGGATGCCTGAATTATGTTTTCTTTTCTTTTGGCAACTGCTGAGATGATAACTCGGTTTCTTTCACCAACTAAGTAAAAAGGGGAAGATGAAGTTTGAGGAAGTAAGGGATATGTGTAGGTTTCGTTTGGGAATATATTGACCCGAGTGATATATACACACACAGGTTGGAATCATAATAAGGCAGTAGATTATAGGAGTACAGAACTCAGAAGAGTGAGCAGAGCTATAGATAGATATTTTAAAACTACTAGTTATTGGCATGTGTGGTAGTTGAAGACCCATTTATGCAGTTTCCCAAAGAACAACTCTATTGGTTCACACATTGCTATTATTTTTCTTCAGTTCCAAGAACTCCTGAAACCAGCAATCTCTAGATTATCATCTCTTTGCTATTCCTACCCTCTTCTAAGCTCCTTGATTTGTCCCTTGGGCCCTGGCACATTCTCTTCTCACTTGACACTACTGCCACTATCTAAACTGGATTAATTATTACTTACCCTGAAGGCCTCTATGGGTGTCCAATTTAGATAACTCTTCATATTAAGATTTCTCATATCACTTTGCACTCTCATTGTATAATTTCAACAATCACAATTTGTGCCTATATGTCTTTATAATTGCATTGTGAGTGCTATGAGAATTAAAAAAAATACTGACAGGTTTCATCCTCACTCTATTCTAGTGCTGCATGTAACCTGGCCCCAAATTTTTACTTTTTTCTTTCTTTTCTTTCTGATATGGTTTGGTTGCTTTGTTCCCTCCAAATCTCATGTTGAAATACGACCTCCAATGTTGGTGATCAGCCTAATGGGAGGTGTCTGGCTCACGGGAGTGCATCCTTCATGGATGATTTGGTGCTGTCCTCCTGGTAATGACTGAGTTCTCTCTCTATGAGTTCACATAGGATTTGGTTGCTTAAAAGATCCTGACACCTTCTCCCTCCCTCTCTTGCTTTTGCTTTTGCCATGTGATATGCTGGCTTCCCTTTACCTTCTGCTATAATTGTAAGTTCCCTGAGGCCTCACCAGACGTAGATGTCAGACCATGCTTCCTATGCAGTCTGTAGAACCATGAGCCAGATAAACCTCTTTTCTTTACGGATTACCCAGCCTCAGGTACTCCTTTATAGGAATGCAAATGAACTAACACACTCCCTAAATAAAAGATTCAGTGAGTGAATGGTTACATTTCTTTTGGATATAGCCCAGTTTTCAAGTTCCAATATAATGATCCTACATTAAGTCTGTATTAGGTCTTGAAAGGAATATTTAGGAGTCTAATAATCACCTCCCACATCTCCAGTGTCTTTCAGATCTAATCAAACTTAGCCACTGCTTCAAAGCATAGTGCTATTCCTGTCAACAATTCTTTTTCTCTTTTCTTCCTTGATGCTAAATTCTTAGTTTTCGAATCTGTACTGAATTTTCTATAAAATCCTTTACCTTTGCGATTGGAATAAGGTCTTAACTTTTTGAGTTTTTCTTTCATGATTCTGCAAGAAACCAGACACTTACTAGCTAAATAGGACTATTCACATTTAGATACATTCATTCGAGGATTTCATGATACTATCAGTTTACTTGTACATTTATTCAGTAAACATTTTTGTGTGCTAACTCTATGTCAGTTTGGCGCTAGGTTCTGAGCATAAACATAAACGTAATTTATAATTTTGATGCAATTTCCTTTCTTAAAACACTCTCACACTAGCAATGCTTATTAAAATTCTTAACATGTCAAGTTACTTATTCCTTTAACAGTTAAATTTATTTAGTTTAAAAGTTCAAATAATGTAGTAGAATCTTTTTTCAAATATCTCTTTCTCAATGAGGCTCATCTCACTCACCCTAATTAAAACTGTAATCACTCATTCACAGCATGAAGTATTCAGATTCCCAAATCTCCAGTGTAATTTTTCTTTTGTTCTTAGCACGAATATTCTAACATGTCACATAACGCATTTATTACTGTGTATTGAATATTATTTGCCTGTACTCACTTGAATACAAACTTCACAAGGGCAGAGAGCTGTGACTATTCACCAATGTACTCCAACTACCTGGAAAAATAGTAACATCCAATAAAATATCCAGCTGATATGATACGCTCTTAATGAAATCTCTGAGAACCCAAGCTTCAGTTTATATAGCACTTTTCTTGTGCCTCTCAGATAACACAGAACATTTTCCTTTATTGTATCTTCCCATTAAATACAAAGCTCTGCAAGACTAGGCAGTGCTGTTCGTATATATTTCCCTTCTGTAGAGTTTAGCCCATCAGCCTAGTTAATTGCAAACAATTATTAAAAAAAAATGAAGTAAATACACTGTCCATAATATATAGTGAAAATAATCTGTATCATTTTTCAAATATTGTGACCCAGTTGGGTCTAAGTAAATTATTGTTTTCTTCATTTAGGTTCTTTTAATTTGAATTCAGTATATCAGAGGATTTTTGGACAGCAATAATACAGATGATATGTTCTCTCTGAACTGCTGGAGTATATTTGATATACATAATTTTTCAATCATTTTATAGAATAAGATTGAGCTTTTCCCGAAAGAAGAAGAGTTCAAGAAGCAGTAGTATTTGCTACAGGAAGACACACTATAACAGATGTTCTTTTCTTTTTTTATAGTCACAGAAAATCATGTTAACTTTGTGAAATTAAAGGGTAGAACTGACACAAATATTGAACAATTTTAACTTCCTAACCCAACCCCAAAACTTAGGGTTTGAAAATTGGTTACAGCTGTTCCTTTCTGTTTCTTAGGGTTTTGTTGTGGTTATTGTTGTTTTTTCCCCTTAGTGGTGGACACTTTTATGTACCAGCACTCAAGCAGAGTCTCTCACTGCAGGTGCATTTACCATTTGGGTACTGTGCTGCCCTTGTTTTGTTAGCCTCAGCATTTTCAAAAACCTCACTTCACCCATGGTGCTTGTGAATATATCACTGTCCACCTCTTTTGCCTTTTGTATTTACCGTGTCTTATGCTTCAGTGTTTCGGATGCCCTTGAGAAGCCATAACCATGCTTTACATTTGAAAGAGTGCCAGCTTATTTAATCAGGCTGAGTTTGAGAGGCATGGATGAATTTATTCTAGCTAACATTTAATAAAAAATAATTTTAAAATGTGACTTATGCCATGACATGCTTAGCATTACCCTTCCAGGTTTAAATTTGAGAGTTGTCAGCGCCCTCCGTGGTCTGGAAACTGACATGTTATCAATCAAGTGCGTGGGTGACAAGGCCGCTGATGTCCTCCCAAGGCTCTTGTTTAATAATTAATTTTTCATTGCAGGCATGTTCAGTAAATGGATTATAAAACTTAAGCCCGTTTAAAAGGTTTTAGAAATTCATTATTAGTTTTAAAAGATGAATGCACAAATTAACTATCCATGATAGATGAGGCATACCAAATATAGCCAGGTCCTGTGTGGTTTTGGCTTATATTTATATATAGTGTAGAGTAGGGTAAAAACTCAGTGCAGTTTTATAGACAATGTCACTGAATCACCGAGGAGGTGATTCTTTCCAAAGGAGACTCAAAAAAGGAGATCAGATGACAAAATTGTGCTTCGAAGATTTTCATCTCTTCTGTTCCTCTCACAAGTCCCCAACCACCTGGCCTCTGGACAGGCTCAGTGCTATTTCTGGAGTCAGAACCTCAGCTTCTTTTTTCACAGAATAACAATTTAGAAAAGAATGCTTATCAGTTATCACATCTTAATTTCCTTAATTAAACATCAGTGCCAGTTTTTTAGCTGTTATCTTTCAGCTCCAAACCCACCAGCTTTGTGATTCCTGGGCTGGTCCCAGCACTCTGCATATCCGCTCTGCTCTCCGGCTTCTTAAGTTTGGCCAGTAGGGCACGCTAGAGGGAGGCCGAATGGCAGGGGAGGGGGAACTACTGCGCTCTGCTTGGCAGTCTGATCCTTTCAGGGTTGCCGCTGCAATGACACTTCATCCTGGCAGCAGCCATTTCCTGGTTGCATTGCCAGTTTCTTGGTTTCCTTTTTGCATTCCTGGAATCAGTCTCATCACTTTCCCTTGGAGAAACCAGGAGTCGCCAGTTTCCTTTCTGTAGAAGACTGAGTCCCAGTTCCATGGGGCTCTCTGCCAGATTTTTAGTTTCTGATAACCCCGAACTCCTTCCTTTTGTTTCCTAAGCTGTACAGGTATTCTAGTTTTTCTCACAATTTCTCATTACTAGGCTACATCAGTGTTCTTTCTTGTTCTTTCCTTTTCTTACTTTTTATTTGTACCTTTAGTTTTCCAATAATTAACAATTCCCCATGTTAAATTATCTCTGTTTAAACAACTAATGTGCTCTCTATTTTCCCAACTAGATCTTGGCTGATGCAAATGCAGTAGACAATCAATCGATCAATCAATCAGCAAATCCAATTTGCCTCTAGCTACTAAAGGGACTTAATATAATTGAATGATTACAGAATTCTGATCCCATTTATCTCAAGCCATTGAAAATATTTTACATGTGATTATAATATACATAACTTTAAAAAATGATTTTCTAAATCAGGATTCTTATCAGATTATTTCACAGCTTATTCACTCATTGAGTGCTTTCCTCCCACCCTTGCTAGCTTTTGTATACCTGTCCTGCATTTTAAACCAAGGTATGAGGAGAATGAACAGTAAATAGTATGATAGTGGCCAAAACTTTGAATTTTTTTCCCTATTCATCATCGTTGTGAGAGTTGGTAAAGAGGTCCACAAATTCAGTCTCCCCACTCCCTGTTCCTTCAAAGTAAATGAGAAGTTTCAGGTAAAAAGCAGAGAAGCTACCCAAGTTCTATTCATTTTTTTAAATCATCATACTAATAATTTTTGCTTTCTGAAATCATTACTCTTGCAAACAGCAAATGTGTTTTATAGGAAGCTAGAATTATTGATGTCACATTTTCATACTCAGTATCCCAAGTACACATCAGGTAAATTCAGAAACATAAGCAAAACCATTTTCTTGATTACCTGTTTTTAAATTTAATATATGTTCATTTATTCTTTTAAATAGATATTTGATAAATGGTGACTATGTATTCTATGACATAAGAAAAACTAAGAATTTTTAGTCAGAAATTCTTTGTGGAATCACTCAAATGATAACTAGTGTTAGCAACACTTCTTTTTCATGAGACATGTCATTTCATGAAGATTGAAAATTATTTGTTGTCCCCTCTAGAGTTCATTTCATGGGAAATTTAAATTTTATTGTCTTAACTTTAATGTTAAACATTTCCTTCACATATGGTATGGCCAGACATGTTTTCTTCTTTGCTGCTATTTTATATTTTAAATATAGTCCACTCAGGATCATTTTTTTAGGAGTCAGAGCTTTAAGTGATGAGACACTTTTACTCTCTATCTCTGATTTGCATGCTAACAAAGACAATTGATACACAAGAAGATGATATACTTTGACTCTAGAAGATCCTTAATGAGTAAATTCTGTGGCCTGTTTTCTGTGCTATTTTTTGTTTTCTGAGGCAGGCATTTTTATCAGTTCAGTTTGTTGGTGTGACTAGTTCAAACTTGTTCAGGGCTTTATGTCTGAGATGTCATCAATTAGCCAATATATATATATTTTTAACAACCATTGTAATTATCTAAGAATGTCAGGGAGTTGTAACGTGGAAACAAATTAAAATGAGCTCCAAAATTAAAAGAGCTCATCTTCCAACAGAAGTATGCTGACATATATTAAAAAAATAAATGAATTAATATCACAAAAGAGGAACAGGAGTTAAAGAGAAGACCATTGTTTAGATGGAGTCAGGTTGGTGCACTGCCAAGGAATGCAAACAGGATTTCTGAAGGCCTGGTGTGAATTTCAAGTTCCATCATTCCCCTGGAGAAGGCGGTTTCCCCAATATCATCTTCGATCCATTGCCTGTTCTTGACAGAGTGGCAGTACCTTTCCTCCACTGTACACCCAGCACTAGCATAAATATAAAACACAGTAAGTACTCAGAAAATACTTGAAGAGTACACTTATCAGTAGAGATGATTGAAGCATTTGTTTCTCTAAGGGAATATTTTCTACCTTCCTTCTTCCAGAATCCTGTGGTTATAATCTGCTCACTGCCAGGTCAACAGTCATAAAACATTTATGTAGAGGTTACTGATCATTATCCTAATGTCTTTCTCAAAAAGTCTGGGGTATGTGAAACTGCTTTTCTTTGTAACATTAGACAAAAACAATATTTATTCTATCACATGCAAACTTAAAACTGCCACCAAATTGGAAGAATATGATCTTAAATTAAAAAAATACATAAACTTCAACACGATCATCTATCTATACCTGCCTTCCTAAATATTAAGGCATGAGGCTTTTCTTAATGTCATGACCATGCACTATGATTTTTACATTACCTCTTTATCTCATTTCCATTTATATTTATGCTAGTGAAATCTACTAGTATCTTTCATTGAAACACTGTTATTTTCCCTGGAGGAAAATATTTCGTTTCCTTTATGAAAAGGATTCTTTACTTCTGAAATACAGAATTCATTGTAGGTTTTGTTTTGGATTCTGTTATTTGTCTGTTTTCACATCAACTTCATTCTTAATGTTCATTTAGAATTATTTTCCAGGCTTGAGTTCAGGTGAAAATGTTAACGGAATTAAAAAGTAGTTAGTCAAATGAAATTGTAATATATAAATTAAATTTGAGAAAAACTGAATTAATAAAGGATTCTAAGTTTATAAAAAATCAAAATTATGCTTTTAGAAAATATTATGTAACTGGAGAGAGTAATTTTACTTTGAGGTCTCCCATGATTCTTTAATATATATTTTTTCTTATTAGTATGTATCCTTTTGGTAACATATACAGGAGACAGTTCATTTTGGTAAGACTGCATTAATGACACATTCTTGGTCTCAACATACACGATCAAATACTTTACAAGGTCTATTAGCCTTGCTCTTGTCCACTGCAATGGAAAAATAAAATGCATCTCATCTACTCTCCTCTATTTATAGTTTTTAGATAGTAATGGATTGATCTTACAAAATTGAGTTTATACCTGCTGATGTCTTGGAGCTCTCTCTTAATTATGTCATATATAGAAATAACTTATGGGCCGGGCGCGGTGGCTCAAGCCTGTAATCCCAGCACTTTGGGAGGCCGAGGCGGGTGGATCACGAGGTCAGGAGATCGAGACCATCCTGGTCAACATGGTGAAACCCTGTCTCTACCAAAAATACAAAAAATTAGCTGGGCATGGTGGCGTGTGCCTGTAATCCCAGCTACACAGGAGGCTGAGGCAGGAGAATTGCCTGAACCCAGGAGGCGGAGGTTGCGGTGAGCCGAGATCGCGCCATTGCACTCCAGCCTGGGTAACATGAGTGAAACTCCGTCTCAAAAAAAAAAAAAAAGGAAATAACTTATGGACTGCCGACAGATTCAGGACAGTGCCTCACAGAAAAATAACAAGAAAATGTATTACCAACTCGGGTCCAGATGAGAAGTATAACTGGAAAGATGGGGTAAAAGACATATTTTTTAAAAAACTGCTAATATTAAACATCTATTCAGATGAGACTTCTGAAAAAGAAAGTTAACATTAAACAATAACAAGGAAACCAAACTTAATGGAAAGATAATGCCCAGGTCCTATTTTCATGGATATATTCTGTAGTAAGTGTATTGTTGACCAGAAAATATTATTATCTGTTATAAACAAAATGGAATATTTTTGTCAAGGTTTGGATGAGTGGGAGTTGTAAGATTGAAATATATTGATTATCTGCTGGATTATGATTACATCAAATGAAGTAAGCATAAATCTTAGTATTACTAGAAATTCAGTATGGAAATATCTACTTTACCCTCTTCAGAAATGTGAATTTTTAAAGTGAGAAATTGCTATCAATTTTGTCACTGAATTTGTTTCAGATATGTATATAGAGAATACATACATATTTTATATGTAAAAGAATATAATGTACTGACTATATAAAATAATGATATATTAATATGATATATTAAAAATATATTCTTAATATATACATATTAATAATATATATAAATATGATATATTAAGCAAATGTAAGAACCTAACCTATATACATATACATATGCGTATACATAAAACCTATATATAATATGCATATACCCTATATACATATACATATAGGTTAGGTTCTTACATTTGCTTAATATATCATATTCTTTTAGAATTTGAAAAATGTTATATTCTTTTAAGAGGAGAAATGAGAGGGAGATGATGAACTGTATTAACAAGTACTGTCACTCAAGTTTTCACCAGTCCAGGCATAGCTAAAGCTAGGAGTTTGTTGTTTATTATTTAAAATATTCCAAGTTGTAGAACTTTATTCTGTTTTACTACTCAAGATATAAAGACATACAAGATGATTATTTAGGCTTCAACCACTTTAGCCTTTAGATTAATGGGGTCATTCACTGGACTATTACTAAAATTTGCTAAGGCTTTAAAAACTTTGCAGTTAATTACAGAAAATCAAAATGAAAAAAACAAAAACACTTTTTCTTTCATCTTAAATGTTTGTTAACTAAAAAAAGTTAATGATACATTTATTGTACTGTTATGGCCTGGACATTTTATTATCAGTCTTTGAAATGGGCTATTACAGAGTGCTTATATGTTTCTTCTAAGAAAATTGTCTAGGTATCTAGCAGAATAGTAATTCTTAATTGTTCTACATTGCAGTTAAGAATGCTCTTGGTCTGAGGAACTATTCCTTTTTGTTCAATTTTTTATGTTCCCATTTTCTAATACCTCAATCTGTTCTTTAATATTCAAGTAAGAGTCTGAGGAAGTGGCTGCTATACCAACTGCATATTCAATTAGATACTCTGTCACATGAAGTGAGAATGTAAATTTTAACAATAATTTAGATATCTAAAATAATTCACAAGTACACAGGATTGTTAGTTCATTATTCATGAATAAAGTGATTTAGAGCTGAAGCTGAGATGAAAGTCTTCCTGGTAAAGAGGTTAAGTAAAAAAAGACTTGGGATCATGAAGTAATTTCATAAAGTGCTATTTCTACAATCAGGAAGTGAGATTCATTACTTGATAAAATTAGTTGAGGAATACATTTTATTCTGTTTCTCAAATAATTATATTTTTATGATCATAGGAAGCAAACCATTGGAAAGATGAAATTAAATTGTAGTAGATTTAATGGCTATAATCTTGGTGTAAAGGAACTTTTCTATTCCAAATAGTGATATGACTGTCTAACTTCATAAAGTCATTTGGGATTTTGGTGTGCCAGATGTGGAAAATACTTCTAGCTAATCTAACAAGTGATAACCATAAACTCATATATAAAATTACTTAAAATATCTCACATCCCAGCTGCTCCACATTATATTAATTGAAATCACGAGTTCACAATTTGTAACATATATAATATTTATTCCAATACTTATTTGCCATAATTGGGAATGGAGTGTAAATCTTTAATTCCTACCCCCACAATCCCTCCTCTAAGACTCAGCTATGCTGTTAGTAGGCCCAACTGTTGTTTAGGGCATGTGTTGTGCTCCGATCAAGTTTGCCGCATGTAAATATCTCTAACATGTAAAATTTCTAACATATGAAAGGAATTACATCTCCTTCATATGTTAGCAACTTTGCAAATCATCTAATTGTCTTCATTGTCTTTCCATAGTCTTTTGTATTCACAAACAGTAATAAAGCTCTGAGGAAAGAGTAGCAAGGCCTCTTAGTTTCACATCACCATTGCACTACCTACGAATTCCAAGCTGTGAACAAGTCATCTAATAGTTCCAGATGTTCATTTCTTCATCAATAAAAAGAAATAAGAATAGATGACTGTCCCTATTGTATCAAACTCTGAAATTCTAATTTCTCCTCATTATTTCCTCATTCTTTCATTCGTATTTTTGCCAGGTTCCTTCATTTACATTCCATCTGAGAAATACTTTGGTGTTCCACTTTCTAAACCATTTAAGCAATCACAATATTATATAGTAATACTCTCGAATAATGAAAATTAAATAAATATCCCAAAAGTCTGTGTCATCCGTTCTGATATGGAATGTAATACCTTGTCTAACTTCTCTTAGAATGGAAAATTCACAAACATGCTATTTTGTGCTTAGTGAGAGATAAACAGCATGAGGAGCTGTTGTTTTCGTTTTCCTTGGAGAGAGTTTTCAGCATGGAAAAGGAAGGGGAAACTGGCAAACATGCCAAATTTGCTATTTTATTATGTAAACATCAGACTATGTGTTGAAAGGCTACCTGTAAAATGAAAGATTTAATTTTCTTTT